TGGCAGCTGACTCATATTTATGACAGTTGCACTGTTCCCTGGGGGGGTCACGCAATCCCCTTTTGTGACCTGACAAGTAAAATCCATGGGGAAGTCAGGTTCACTTCACCTCCAGGTTACTAACTTAACAACGGCATTGATTCACTTAACAACCGTGGCAAGAAAGGTCGTAAAGTGGAGCAAAACTCGCTTAACAACAGAAATGCTGGACACGGTTGTGGTTGTAAGGCAAGGACTGCCTGAATTTCCACCAGGATTCCGGGCCGTCAGTGGGTGAATTTGAAAGCAATGCCTTTATGGAGATTGAATAATGGTTAACGTCTCTCCCTTTTGGTTCTCTCTGCAGGAGACCTTCTCAAAGGAATACCCACAATTCAGGCAATCCTTATGCCCCCTTTGGGAGTGACAAGAAGGAAGGAGAACCAATTCTAATACCTCTGAAGTTAGTGCAGAATCCAGATCAGTCTGAATATCCACCAACGGATTATGGGTTTGAGCGGGCCAGTACAAACCCACATGGAAAGGCACATGGTATGCAGCTCCAGTGACTGTACAGTTAACAAGGCAGATGACTTTGAGTTGTATATACAGTATAGCAATATGTTCATGTTGTGACCCCGACTCCTGAGCCTATGCTGTCAGAGGAAAAGGACCTGGAAGATGAGGGGGAGGAACTGGCAATGCCTTCCTCCCCAGGACCTTCCTCCCTGGCAATGCCTCAGGTTCCATCAGACAACCGAGAGAAACAGCCTGAGATGAATCAGGAGGAAGGCATGTCGGAGCAGCCCCTGACAGGGAGTCAAGAGGAAGAGTCTTGGCTCGACCCCAAGCAGAGTCGTAGGAGAAACGTGAGCAGCAATGTAGGAGGCGTGGGAGGGTCAAAGAGTGAGCTGAGTTACTGAGCCATACCCCGCAGGAGATAAAAGTGGGTGTGCTTTCTCCTTAAACTGTACGGGACAAAGTTTAACTTACTTTAGACTTTATTTGTGACTATGTTGGAAGAACGATTGTTTTGTGGACTGCCTTGTGCTTTGTGAAGTAAAAGACCCATTTCCCCCTGTGTGAGTAAGACTTTGATTTACAATTGCTGCCATCTCGGACTTGGCAAGCAGGGCGTAGTAGGATGCCAATAATGTTATCAATTACAGAGGATTTGCTCTGCGAAGTTCGAGCCAGCTTGCCTGTCTGTGTTTGTGTGTGTGTATAATCCCTTACCTTTTGGGGGAAAAGGAAGGGGAGACAGATAATGTTTATATCTGTATTGCTTAAGTTAGTCCTTGACTTAACAGCCATTTGTTTCATGACTGTTTGAATGTATGATGGCACTGAAACAGCTGCAAAATCAGAGTTTGTTAGTTAGCCAGCTTTGAGCTCATGCCAAAATGTCTGAGGACATGCATTTTTTTTTATTTTTTAATGTTTGGAGCAATGATCTGACTGCTGCTAAGTATGCTTGCATGGGTCTCCTGAATTCAGCTGTGTCAATTTTTTTTGGGGGGGGGGTATTGAACTTGCAGCCGTTGTGGCTTGCAAACCATGATTTATCCTAGCCTACTGTGGCTTACTCAGTCAATCAGGGATTAAGAAACATAGGATAAGAAGATATATGTTTCCAGTTTATATGCAATATAAGAGGAGTAAACAGTTCCTTCTATATTTTTCTTTTTGCCCTCATCAGTTAATCCTTCCTTCGAGTATGAACCAGAATCTGAAGGGATATTACCTACTACCAGCCGGGCTTTCAATATTCAGAATGCAGACAGTTATTCAGATGCATCAGAGAGAGGTAAGATTTAAGGCAATTCATGTACTGGTTGTCATGTACAGAATTAACTGGGCAATTCTAGGCTAGGAAGGCATAATTTTCTGCTGATGCATGTATTATTGTGCAGTTGATTGCAAATTCATTGAAACTTTTCACGGCGAATTCTTTACTACAGTTAATATTGTCCAGAGGCGTAGCAGGCGATCCAATTATGCAACTTTTGCCAGGCCCAGCTTGCTTCGTTTAGACCCAGAATATATAGAAGCAAAGAGAAAAGAAGGTCAGTGATTGATTTATTTGATTTAATTCTGCTCTTTTAATTCTATACTTCACAAATTTTGAAATCTCATCAGGAACTCTGATTGCTGTTATTATAATCATTGACTATGGGAATGCAATTCTTGTAAGATTCTTGTTTGCTTTGGTGAGGTTGTCTTGCCTCCTACTTATGGGATGGCACACCCAAAGCAACTTGCCTGAAATCAACTGAATCATGACAGCTTGATGGGATGCATGAACTCCCCACTGTCCTGATTTTTATTGCCATCTTTATTTTTGCAGAGGAAAAATTAATCAATGATCTGTCAAGGATGTCCACGCATGAAAGAGTTAGAGCAATCCAGAAGATTCCCAAATCAATGAAAGAAAAACGAGAGATTAGGTAGGAGGCTCACATATTTGTATTCTGAGGGCACTTAAATTAACCTACAAGGATTAAAAATCCTTTTACATGTAAATGTTTCACCTCCTTCCTTTTTTTCCTTTTTCTGCATCTAGAAAGAGAAGAAAATATATAAAACATCTGTTTATTTGCACTCAGACATTATACTTATATCTAGCAAGCACTTGCATACAGACATTTCTATTATAGAAAAAGATCATTTAATTGAAATGCTGGAAAAATCTTTTTTTAATACTGTTTTTGGTTCTCACTTTAATTTTCTCTCTGGATTTATGTAAAACTGTTTGTCTTTGTTTCATAAACCATAAGTGGTTATAGATACAACATATCTAAATGTTCTATCTTGAGATGACAAATGGTTTTAAATGTTTAAATAAGCTGTGTTGTGTACAAGTCAGCCTTATCTTTGCAAGGAGGAGAATGAAATAGGGAAAAACTGATTCAAAACAACTCTTAGAGTTTTATACTTTTCAGTTAAACTACTGTACTATTTTGTACTTGCTCATTTAGAATGATATAAAACAGATAGAATTAGTTTTAAAAGAGCTTGCTTGCACCCATCTGCCTTATATTATTTTTGCTGTTTGATACTCGACAGGAACCGTGTTCTAACAGAAAGAAAAAAGAAGTCCTACAACCAGGATGCTCATCTTAATTGTTGTGCCCAATGCTTCTACAACATTGCTTTGGTAAGGAGTGATGTTGTTGAATAAGGACTACTTGTTGAGAGGAAGAAGAATGTTATCTATTGTATTCAGCCAAATCTCCTGTTTGGTTGTGATTTTGGCTTCCTTCTCCCCAGTTCTTCAGGCAGTTAAAGAACAGTTTTGTTGACTGCCTTCAGCTCTTCCAGTTTTGGCAGAAGACACTCAAAGACATTGGCAGCCAATTTGGGACCAGCATCCATTCCTACTTTGTGTTCCTGACGTGGCTTCTCACGTTCAACATTTTCTCATTCCTGATCAACTTCAGTTTTCTTGCAATTCCTCAACTCATTGCTTCCCAACCAAATCACCTTTCCTTCACAAGTCTGGAGTTTTTGACCGGAGCTGTACGTAGGTTTATAAAATGGAAAAAAACAATGGAGACAGAGCTGGGCTTTCCTTCCATTGTACCAGTCAGATTGATTTAACTGTGGTTTGTTGATTCAGCGAAGCGGGGCTGGGTTCACTTGACCTGCTAAGCCATTAATCATGGTTTTTACAGACTTCAGTATTTAGCAATAAAGGAAAATATTTGTAGCTCAGGGTTGCCATGAGGGCTCCTTGGTGCTGTCTGAGATTGGTGGTTTTCTTGTAGAGGTTTCATTACCCAACTAGGCAACATCATCAGTGCTAGTCATTACTTAAGAAAACAGGTATTTCTCAGAGAGCGCCAAGGAGCCCTCACTTCAGCGTTTGGATTCATACAACACGCTAAACCCAGCACGCAAACCACTGCATGTTTTAGTATGGTGTGTGACTCTAATTGCCTGTTAAAAAAAGACTGTTTAAAGGAAAGCATCCCAAAAGGAGCTTTTTTTTTTTACCTTGAGGCAAAATGGGCAGAAAATAAACCAAGTAAATAAGTAAGTAAGTAGCAGTAAGTAAGTTACAAATTAAACCCAGTTTGAAACAGGCTAAAAATAACAGTTCTTCTCTGCCTCTATGGGGTGGGAAGAGTATTACACAACTGATACTATCAATAAGAATCTTTTGCCGACCTCTCGAATTCTGATACTACTTTCTCTTATCATCCCAGGGTTACTTTACAAACACGGTTCTCTACAGCGGCTTTTATACCAACGGTACAGTAGGAAAAATTGAGAATGGCTCGCCGTATTACATGCAACTGGCTTACATTTTCACAATTGGGATTTATTTTATCATCTGCTTTCTGAGCTTGATCTACAGGTACGTTGGTTAAGGTGTTGGACTGCCATGGGGGTAGGTGGGGGAGAGTGGGTAGTCACTAAATCACCCATGACCCATTGGGTCATCCTTTCAGAAAGATTCCTTAACCAGGACTCCGCAATCGCCTCCACAGTGACAGAGCTTCTAAGCTACAGCCTTCATTGGAAAAGTTGGGAATAACATTCAGAAATGGATCAGCCTCAAAAACATAGCAAGTTGAACGAAATAACAAGCCTAGGAAATGTTTTAGGACATTTTGTACTGTGGCAGGAACTCTTTGTGATAACGTTTATGGCATAAAATGTTTTATAAAATTTGCCAAATTTCAATTCCGTAGGAATCCTGGATTTTGGATGCATTCTGTAAAGGAGCCCCTGTGAGGCACCTAGTTCAAAAATGGTTAACTTGTGATGCAGCGTTTCATTCAATTAAAGGTTACAGACCCAAGAGTTTTAGTATCATCTCCAAATAATCTTTCCTAAAATGGTTGTTCCTTTTTTAAAAAGAATGAAAAGCAAAAGGAACATCTAGGCAACTCTACAGCTTCATTTACTGTGAAGCAATTGACTTCTTTAAATAAATGTTCCTTTAATTCTCTTCCTTGTTTCATTATTGCTTGTAATTGGACCTGGCCACGCAGCCCCTCCCTAGCAGTTGCCTTGGAGAGAGAATGGGCCACAAGAATGCTGACTTACCACAATGGCAATGCAGACAAAGACCTACCTAAAAGGCTAGATTGCATTGACATAAGCTGGGATAAGGTTAATCTGAACAATTTATGCTTTCATCTTAGTGTAGCAGTTTTCCAATATCTACAGACCCCTCACATCCAGGACAGAAACTGTTTCAACTCCTACCCTCAAAACGACGCTATAGAGCCCTGCACACCAGAACAACTAGACACAAGGACTGTTTTTTCCCAAACGCCATCACTCTGCTAAACAAACAATTCCCTCAACGCTGTCCAACTATTTGCAAAGTCTATTAATCTTCTCATCACTCCTTATTATGCATCCCTTCCCACTTGTGACTGTATGACTATAACTTTGTCGCTTGTATCCAAACGATTTATATTGAGTGTTTCCTGATATGATTTGATTGCTTATTGTACCCTATGACTATCATTAAGTGTTATACTTTATGATTCTTGACGAATGTATCTTTTCTTTTATGTACACAGAGAGCATTTGCACCAAGACAAATTCCTTGTCTGTCCAATCACACCTGGCCAATAAAGAATTCTATTCTATTCTATTCTTTTGTATGTGTGTGGAACACACACAAACACTTGAGATTGGCTGTTTAATCTGCAAAGGCTTTAGCCAATTCTGCCAAATTCCATCAAATTGAAAAAAGTATGTACAGTGGTACCTTGGTACTCATCGTTAATTGGTTCCAGGGGGTGTGATGAATGCCAAATAAATGTTTCCCATAAGAAATAATGTAGTGTCACAAGGCAGCTGACACCAATAAGTTCTGGTTTGTGTGTTGAGTACCAAACAAATGATGAGTACTGGGACAAAATGTTGGCATCAAAATGCACCGAGTACCAAATTCAATGAGTTTCAAAGCAATTGAGTACCCAGGTACCACGATATATATATAACTTTTAGGGTTAGGGTTAGGCTCTGTCTACTGGCTAGCAGTTTGCAGACCAAATTGTAAGCCAGATTGAAATAGTAGCATTCCAAATGATATTTTTGCATTTTTTCCCCCATTGAGGATGTGGAAAACGTATCTAAAGATGTGTACCACTTTTTCTCTGTCTCTCTCCCTCTCTCTATGCCTTGGTCACTACAGCATGGCGAAATCCTTCCGTAACCACATCGTTATGCCTCAGATGCACTCCCGAAACGCTGCCAAGCTTCTGTGCATCTGGGATTTCGGTGTGGTGGATGAGAAAGCCGTACAGATGAATCAGAAAAATATCAGCACGCAAATCAAGGTAGAGATGACGGCTGTCACATTGAAATTATTAATGCATCAAGAGTTCATTTTTTCCTCAGGAGAGTTGACAAGAGCAGAAAATAACGTCATTCTGTGGTTCTCACCATTCCTTGGGTCTCATCTTTGGATCATCTCCTTTTGAGAAGGAGAAAGGAAAAATATTTGATGCATAAGATGATATTTATACACAATCCCCCCAAACTATCTCTTACTGTTACCCCTCAATTTTGCTAATTAATTCCCAATCAGGGGTCCTTGGTGCTTTCTGAGCTTGGTTTGTTTTGTTGCAGACATTTCATTACCCAGACACTGGCGAGGTTACCTACTTTGCGTAATGAAACGTCTGCAAGAAAACAACCGGGCTCAGAGAGGACCAAGGACCCTTCATTTCAGTCCTGAGTTACAAATATTCTTCTTTATTCATTCCCAATCGGGAACTTTCGAAGCTTAACAATAGCAATCGCAGCTCTTAGCCTTATATACTGCTTCATAGTGTTTTTACCCAGCCCGCTCTAAGTGGTGTGCAGAGTCAGCCTATCGCCCCCAACAATCTGGGTCCCCATTTTACCAACCTCAGAAGGATGGAAGGCTGAGTCAATCTTGAACTTCATCAGGATCGAACGCCAGACTGTGGACAGAGTTTGCCTGTAATACTGCACTTTAACCGCGTCATCGGGGCTCTTAGAGCAGCAACTGAATGCAAAGTCAGATCTGAATTCCTGCTTCCTGTTTCTTAATTATCTCGCCTCTCTCTTCCATCCTAGGAGGCCCTCTCCGAAATGCACGTTGAATCTCTAAATCTCTCCCTGCAACAAAGGGTCCTTCGCATCTCGCTTCATCTGGCCATGTGGTCTCTCTCGTTGGGTTTGGCAGTGGGTTCGTGTGCTGGCATTTACTTCTTTTCCCTTGTCAATTTAGAGGTCAGCTGCAATTCTGTGGTTTCCCATCCCATTTATTTTGCTTTGTTCGTACTAAATCGGGAATAAATAAATACATACTGTTTCTGGGAACGGGTTTTAAACGTGACTGTATATTCTCAACAGTGTGTTAATGGGGGGCCTGAGATTGATTCCTTAGGATGATACATTTCTCCCCCACTCAACTTGGGGGGCGGTGAGGGGAGCCCATGAAGCCTCCCCAAACATTGCAACAAGCTGACATTTTGAATGAAGCAGAGTTGAAGGACGGGAGAATATTGAAAATCCTGGAGCAGTCATCGTATGGACGTAATTAATTAATTTGATGCAACTCTATTTACATTCATGAAATTAAAATTGAAATTAAGTCTAGATGGCGAGGGGGGCATCAGGAAATGTAAAATAAATCTTGAAATCCCCCCCAAAGTGACTGGTTGGAAGCCCGCCCCGCCCCGCCCAGATCCCCTTTGTAATAACTTCATCTGCTGATTTGCAGCTAGGGTTTGTGGTTGCTCTGGATGCCTAGTTGTGTCAGGCTCCAGAAACAAACAAACAAAAAAACATACAGAGTTATTTCTAAGCAACTTCCTTTATTGTTCCTCATCTAATGACAAAAATATTGCCAAAGAAAAGCAGATTACCGGTATTTGCCCCATTAAACATATACTCTGAGAACTTCTAAGGAGGACCTATCTTGACCTTCTGCCTCCCAACTCACCTCTCTAAAGGTTGCTGTCCCTTGGTCCTCTGGAATGCAGTCCCTCCATCCTGGGAATCCAGACTACATCCCACCACATCTGGGTAGACCTGTCATGAACATAAATATATGTTAAAATCGTCAGTCAACAAACTAATAAATAATAAACACAATCCTAGGTGTCCCGCGAGATGTCAGTGGGGTTTCATATAATGCCAGGGGTCATTTCTAGAGGCCCCCTTTTTTCCTCCCCCTTCCTGCAATACATTTGTGAATATGGCATGACTAGGACTCAAGCAAATTACTTTGAGCTCTTAACAAAAGGTTCCCTCTCTTTTTCTCTCTTCGCTCCTTTTCAAGTTATTTCTGAATGAGAAAAATACCCAGCTGCAAAATGAAGCCGCCATGCTGATCTTGCCTATCGTGGTGAGCCTCTTTAACCACGTGATGCCGTTCCTATACTCCTTCTCCCGCTTGGTTGAAAAGTTCACCTATCCCAGGCACCAGATCTACACTGCTATTATCAGGTACATTGGAGTCATTTTTGCCCTCCTTCGGAGAAAACCACACCATACGAAGCCATCTAACTGTTTACTCTACAGGTAATCCTTGACCTATGACCGTAGCTTATTCCTTCCTCCTGTCAGGGCCCCAAGTAATAGATCCATTGCAAGCAAAAACTCAGAGGCAAGTGGATTCCTCAAAGAATAGCTTTATTGGAAATATCATATTGGCACATATCCAGGGGTGGGATTCAAATTTTTTAACAACCAGTTCTGTGGGCGTGGCTTAGTTGGTGGGCATGGCTTGGTGGTCATGTGACTGGCTGGGTGTGGCCAACTCAACATCACTCACATCAAGGCACGCATCTCCTCGCCTGGCCTCTCATGACTGTGGGGATGCTGCCACAGTTGTAAGTGTGAAAAACGGTCATAAGTCACTTTTTTCAGTGCCATTGTAACTTTGAATGGTCCCTCCACACAAGCAAAGTACCAGCAAAGGAGGGGGAAAAAACTCCAGAGACGTTCCTGAGACAGGAAGTATGTAATAAGGGTTAAAGGTGAGGCAGTTTCTGTAAGCAACACCAGAATGTTTCCTTCCTGCCTTCCTTACAGGATTAGGCCAGTAATTTCTTCTGACAACCGGTTCTCCGAACTGCTTAGAATGTTAACAACCGGTTCTAGCGAAGAGAATCCCACCCCTGCACGTATCTGGTGGAAACAAACTCTGAGGGCCCCCGTGGTTTTCATATAATTAAAAGTAAAAGTTTTCCTCTCAACTCCAAACAATCCGTCTTGTGACCCAATCAAAGCAGCAGCTGCTGGTCTGGTGACATTGCTCCTCCTCCTTCTGGCCAGGTGTGAGAACGTCCTTGGTTCCCAAAAGGAAATATTTTGTTTTGACCACCCCACCCCAGCTATCTCTAATCTCCCTATCCCTCAGCTCCAGTGTGGCAACACTGAAGCTCCAAGATGGCTTCAGACAGGTCAATTTCAGGACTGACACCTCCAGTTCTTCCAGCCTACCATCCCTTTGGGTGTGAGTTGGCCTGAGAGAGAGTAGCTGGCTCAAAGTCGTCGTCCCCGCCCCCCCCCAGGGAGTTTCTGTGGCCAGTAGGGGACTGGAACCTCTGTGCTCTCCATCCTAATGCATCACCTTGGCCATTGTACCATCTCTATAACAAGGGAAAGGGAAGGAAACAATTCTTTCCCCATGAACAGACGATTGCTTTCAAAAAACCCCAACCTCCACACCATTCAGAACAGACTTCGGGGAGACAATGGGTGGGCATCCCAATCTTCTGAACCCTGAGAGCTATTTCTTCCTCTTTGTAGGAATGTCATCCTGAAAATATCAATCATTGGAATCCTCTGCTACTACTGGCTCAACATAGTAGCTCTATCCAAAGTGGAGGTAGGTTTTTTTTTTTTTTTCAAACGTGTTTTGGTACCGGTGCAAAATTGCTTATAAAGCGATGCCAGGCCTTTTGTCAATCAAGCTGGATCCACAGATTGTGCTAAGTCATGGTTCAACTACCTAGTAGTAGTTAACTCACTACTTCCTCGATCAACCTGCTGGTTTTGTATGACACATTAAGCCATAAACTGTGGTTACTAAAAAGATAGCTGCTGGCTTCACACACGGTACATTAAACAAATAAACTCACTGAGGGCATAGCTCAGCCTTCTCTGGTATTTTCCAAGCACATAGATATTTTTACCCAGAATTTCCCAGCCAGCACAGCTACTGCTGAGAATTCTGGGAGTTGAAGTCCGCAGATTTGGATCTGGCTTTCACATGTCTCATGAATAAATGACAATTTGTAAAATCTGTTTTTCTCTCTGTTAGTGCTGGGAAACCTTCATTGGCCAAGATATATACCGGCTGCTTATAGTTGACTTTGTCTGCTGCCTCCTTGGTTCGTTCTTTGGTGAATTTCTACTACGGTATGTGCATAAGTCCATAATTCAATCCAAGTCAAACTTTCATATTGATAATCCCCAACTTGGAGCCATTTGTTGGGCACCGTTTAAAATTAAAACGGCCCTGAAAAAAAATGACGACCAATCCTTGCACTTACAATCATCGTACCATCCCCACAGTCACGCGATCAAAATTTGGGTTCTTGCCCACTGGCATTTATTTACAAGTCACTTAATCCCCATTGACAAACTTCTCAGCTGGCTTCCAACAAGCACAGTTAATAGGGTAAGACAGATTTGCTTAATGACTGCAGTTCACTTAAAACTGCAGTGATTCTCTTAAAAACCAGAGTAAAAAAGAAGGATGTAAAAACAGGCCTCACTCACTTAACAATCACAGAAATCGAGGTCTCAATTCTGGTCGTAAATTGCAAACTACTCATATTTCTACATCTGGATTGGGAATTCCTAGATAGGAGTAAGCAGGTTGGAGGCATCTCTGCTAAGCCACGGTTATAGCAGCAGAACCCCCCAAATCTACAACCAGCTGTCAGGAGCAAACAGTATTTATTTAAAAATGGGAAAAATTTAGTTCTTCCAAGCACATCCAGAAATCAGGGATTTGTTTTCATTTTCTAAATGGAAGTTGGGAAAAGGGGTTGGCTGAAGGTTTTACCTTGTTGTACCCCAATTGTTCTTCCTTTCCTTTGCCAAAATTAAAAAAAAAATGCTACTGACATGCTATTCAAAACTTAGGGATTAGAAACCTGCTAACTTAGATTATCACTCACAGGTCTAGATTAGTTTATTTATACCTTGGCGACTCGTGCTTCTGATAATCTTCAGTTGATCAAAAGCACAACTTCCCTTTTGGAAAAGATTCCTTACAAATATCGTTACATGTCTAGAATGTCTTTCTGCAGAGCTGCCTGCTAAAGCTGTTCTAAAAGATGTCGCCAAACGTCCTAACTCACAAATCTGCCTTTTTTCAGACTTATCGGCACGAAATGCTGTAAAAAACTTGGCGTGCCAGAATTTGACATTGCTCGAAATGTTTTGGATTTGATCTACGCTCAGACTTTGACCTGGTGAGTGTGGGGTGCGGGGAAGAAATCACATTCTGAAGATTCACGAGGTGGGCTACAAATCCAGATGGATAAATACCCTTATCCAAGCACACAAAAAAATACTCGGCTTATATTTGAACAACCCGCAGCTTTGAATTCTGACTCAAGTATCCTTTTCCCCCCCCCTCTTCTCTTCAGGATTGGAATCTTCTTCGCCCCTCTGCTTCCTGTCATCCAGATGATATCGTTTTTCATAATCATTTGTGTGAAAAAGGTTAGGCTGCCTTTTGTGATTTTGGTTTTTTTTTTTTAACCTGGTCAGCCTTAATTGCATTGTTCTCCCTCGAGCCTTTTGCTGCCACTGATTGTACCTAGACCCACAGATCGGTGGCCGTTCGTTCAGCGAGATGATCATTAGCACTCTGGAACAGCGCAAGGATGAGGCATGATGAGGACTCATGCAGTTTGCTAAGCCAGGTCTGCTTCATACATGCTGCCAAGCCCTGAACTCAGTTACAGCGATAATGAGGGCACCCTTTGGAAGAGCTGAAGGATCAAGTGAGGAACAGATCCTCATGGAGAAGATCTATCTGTGTGTCCCCTGCTTTTTCAGGAGGCAACTGGACTTTCTGATTTTTTTTCTTTTGAAGACGTTTCGCTTCTCATCCAAGAAGCTTCTTCAGCTCTGACAGGATGGTGGGGAAATGGAAGGGTTTATTTATATTCCTTGCAGACCGCTGGTCATCTGCATCCGCATTTAGAAGGTCGTGGAAGCACTTGCAACCTGTGCCTGTGTCCTCAGGGTCACTTGAGTTAGTGCTCCTGGTTCCTCCAGTCTGCCATTTTCCCCTCTGGAAATCCATTCCTACTCCTACGCCATTCCAAGGGTGTTCATCCCAAATTGTATGGCTAAACGCCTGTAAATTAAAAATTTTTGGGATGAACCCTTGGCATGGTGTGGGAGTAGGAATGGAAAAAAAATTGCAGACTTCGGGAAACAGGAGCGCTAACTCAGGAGACCCTGAGGACACAGATCAACCTCCAAGTGCTTCAACGACCCTCTAAAAACGATGCAAATGACCAGCTGCCTGCAAGAAATATAAATCCTTCCATTCCCCACCATTCAGTCCGAGCTGAAGAAGCTTCTCGGATGAGAAGCGAAACGTCTTCAAAAGACACACACACGAGCAGTCCTTTTGTGTCCGCCACGGCTTTGCTCCCTTTAGCTTCGGGGGGGGGGGGGGCAATATATTTGCTGCTGGCGATGCCAAAAGCCTCCCCCTCTTTCATGTGGTGTTCTGTGCGGGTCAAGCACTTGCCTGTGACCTCTTTTGCCTTGCTCCTCCAGATCAGCCTGCTGAAGAATTGCCAGCCTCCACGCAAAGCTTGGCGAGGGTCGCAGATGAACACAGTTTTTGTCTTCCTGCTCTTTTTCCCGTCTTTTGTCGGAGTCCTCTCGGTCGTCGCGGTCACTGTCTGGAGGTCAGAAGCTCTTGGGGGTCCACCCTTCCCTTGGGGGAAATCCATTTTTGACTGGAATGGGACTGTTTAATATACAAACGTAGGACATATCAAGAATATCTGTATATTAAACAGTCCCATTCCAGTCAAAAATTGATTTCCCCCACACAACTGAAAGGCCAGGGATGAGGAACCTTTTATGGATCACTCAGGAATTCTGGGAGTTGAAATCCATAAGTGATAAAAGAGCCAAGTTTCCCTACCCCTGCCCTATACCATTTCAGACAGACAGCTGCCCAATCCCCTCTTAAAAACTTCCACTTTTGGGGAGCATTCACAACTTCATTCCACTGATTAAGAAATCTCAAGATTCGCAGATCTTCTCAAGGACCTGCAGGTGCCCAGTGCCGTCTCTGATGCTGCCCAGCATCTATGAATGTTCCCTTCAACAAACTTCTAAACTGACCTATGTTTGTATTAAAAGAACCTGTCCTTTTTTTTTTTTATAAATTTTTATTTTAACAACAAAACAACATAGACATACCACATAAAACATAAAAATATCATCCTTCTTCATAAATTTACAAACAGTGCATCGGTTGGTTTACCACTTTTTTTTTGTGCATCCATTTCCTAGTCACTAACATAATTATATTACATAATAGCTCATATTATCAATCAATAATTGTATAACCTAATATCATCACTAAAAAAAATCATTTATCTATCATTTTGTTAATTCATATTTTAACGAGATAACTATAGTTTGCTTAGTTTATTTTGCAATAAATCGTAAGATCATACCAAATCTATCTTGATAATGTTTTATAAAGATAATATCAAAAAAAAGGGGAAAAAAATTTTTTATGCTAAATCTGAATATTCTATTATTATGTTTTATTATCTAACCATCCAACCTGTCCTTTTTTTATCTCTCTCTCTCTCTCTCTTTTCCAAGACGGAAGCCTTCAGAAACATGTGGTCCTTTCCGAGGACTAAAAGCCCCCTTTGAAGCTATCTCTGGTTGGATCTCAGTCTTATCTTCTTCCCCGAGCTCAGGATGGGTCGTGTGGATCTATCACAACTTAATCAAGAGCACCCATTTCTTCTTCATCCTTTCCATCATTGTGTTGTAAGTTTCCAATCAGTGGTGGGATTCAAAAAATTTTAGTACCGGTTCTGTGGGCGTGGCTTGGTGGGCGTGGCAGGGGAAGGTTACCGCAAAATCCCCATTCCCTCCCCATCCCACTAGCCTGCTTTCCAGCTCCGTTCTCCTGTGCAGGGCAGTAAAAGGAGACCCAGCTGATCAGCCGGGACTCGGGGGTGGGCAGAGAATAGATGGGGTTAGCAGGGCCAGTCAGAGGTGGGATTTGCCGGTTCTCTGAACTACTCAAAATTTCCACTACTGGTTCTCCAGAATGGGTCAGAACCGGCTGAATACCGCTTCTGCTTCTAATTAAAAGAAGAAGAAGAAAAGAGGTTGGATGGAGAAGGAAGGCGAGCCATTTGTAAAAGGGATTCTTTTAATAATCAGGACGTCTATAAATTATGTACCCTAAAAACCTACTACTAGGGCTTTTCCTGTCTGAGTATCTTGGTTCTTTTCTTGTAGACATTTCATTACCGAACTAGTTAATATCATCAGTGGAAGAAAAATTGTTCCTTGGTGGAACTGTACTTAACAAGCACGTTATTCCCATTAGCGTGCTTTCTGAAATCTTTGATTCCTGTATGTGGTAGCAATAAAGGAGAATATTGGTCACTCAGGGTTGAAAGTCATTATCTAGTTTGGGTAATGAAATGTTGGCAAGGAAACAACCAAGCTCAGAAGGCGATAAGAACTCCTCATTTCAACCTTGAACTATAAATATTCTCTTTTATTGCTTTATTCTGTCTGGTAACATAGTTTGGGATCTTGGCTGAGAAATGCTCTTTTTAAAAAAAATAAATCAACGCTGAATAAGAATACAGAACCCAATTTATTGACCAACAGTAATTCTACCTTCCTGATTCTGTTTCAGGATGCTCATATACTTTTTCTTGCAAGTCATCAATGGACGAAAAACAATGGTCAAACTGCTACAAGAGCAAATTGCTAATGTAAGTATTTCCTGTCAGTCTAGAAAGTGGGATCTAGTCAAACCAGGTTAAATTACAGGAGAGCAGTGTCAAATACCAGGAAAATTACAGTTCAAATGTGTATAAAGATTTATTGTAAGCTTAACAAGAATCTGAACTACTAATGGTCAAGGGAAATTAGCAGATGTTGAGAACAGAAAGGAATTCGAAAGGGGGCCAGACTTAGATCTCTTGCGAGGGTGAAAAGACTCATGACTGATGATGTATTTGACCCCTCCCTTGGGCTCAGCCTGGTCATCTCCCACAAGTAGTTCATTGTTGAATATCAGGAGAAACAATTAGAGAGTTTTGACTACAGTAGCTGCTTCTATAAGGAGTGGAATGATTGCTTTATCACTGAAGGTCTTCAGCAGAGACTAAGTGACTGATGTTCCTCAAAAATTCTGTAGCTAGATCACTAAACAGAAAACTTTGCAAATTCCAGGGATCACCGAGTTAACAAACACCTCTTTTCCTACATTTTTATCTTTAAGAACGTGGCAGTTTAGGCTTTTTTGGCAAAAAATAAATAAATAATCCTTTAGTTGCACATGTTTATTTCCTCCCTTTAAAAATGTCTTTATATGTTTAATACCAAACATATAATCTAAAATTATTATGTGTTGATCACTTGAGGGAAGCTCTGAGGCAGCAGTTACATACACCCTGGCCAGTGAAAGTGGGGAAATGTGACCATTTAGTGATCTACAAATCAGTCTTTGAGGATCACAAAATTAGACAGTGTCCTTTCAGCAATAGCAGTAGAATTTAGATTTATTTACAGCCCTCTCTAAGCCATTTACAAAGTCAGCCTCTTGCCCCCAAACAGTCTGGATCCTCATTTTACCCACCTCGGAAGAATGGAAGGCTGAGTCAACTTTAAGCCAATAAGGATCGAATTCCTGGCAGTCAGCAGAGCCAGCCTGCAGTACTGCATTCTAACCAGTGCTCCACCAACTTAAAACTAAACTCAGGAAAGTTTCGTTTTGAGTTGGAAGGCTTTCTAACACCTTGATCTAAGATAGATATTCGCTATACAGAACAGATGGCAAAACATCGGTAATTTTATTTTTTTATTACGTTTCTCGTTTTAAGGTATGGTAGTTTTTACGGTTATTTATGAAGTTTGATGTGAATTTCAGATTATATTGTGAAAGCTTAGGAGTCCATGTAAGCCACCAGGAGTATTTTTGACTGGAGCATAGTAGAAATGTATTTAATTAATAAAAGAAAGGAAGGGTTGGTTTTCGAGAAAAGCCTTTGACTGTTGCTGCTGACTTTCTAAAGTAAAACATCAAATTAATTCATCTAACTCTTAGTGTTTCTTGATTTTTATAGGCAGGCAAAGATAAAATGTTTCTACTGAAGAAATTACGTGCGCTGCAAGCTTCTAAGCTGCCCCCTTTGAGAAGGCAGCCAGAGGTAAGTTTTTGCACATTTGGCTTTTTGAAGACCGGGCATATCCATTAGTTTAATAATGGTTTACTGAAAAAGAGCAATTGTAGCATGCTTTGGGGGACTTTGGCGAAGGTTTTATGTCATGACAATACTCATCTTAGATTTGTCATAAGAAATGGGAGGTGGGGTGTGTAATTGACAGCACACAACTCTAGTCAAGGACAGAAAGTAAGCCGAATTTTGATTGGCCTTCCAGAGGGACCTGTCTCTGAACCAGCTACCTAGGGAGCAAAGCTCAATTTTACTGCCCAGCTGCGTGGACCCCTTTCTATGGACCGAAGATGGAGAGTCTTCTACTGAGGTAATAGCAGGTGCAGTTGAGGGTGTGGTGTGAGCAAATTTTGGAGCGCTTTCTTTTACATAAAAGCATTCAAATTGCAGTTGCTAAATCTTCTATGCTGTCCTGCAGATAGGTTGGACTTCACCTCCCGTTATACTTCACCAACTTTGGCCATATTGTTTGACACATCTGGGCTACATTATGCTGATGTTTGGAGAAGATAGATAATATGAAGGATACCTTTCTGAGGTTAAGCCAGGGGTGGGATTCTACAGGTTCGCACCTATTCGCTAGAACCGGTTGTCAACATTCTAAGCAGTTTGGAGAACCGGTTGTTAGAAGAAATTACTGGGCTAATCCTGTAAGGAAGGCAGGAAGGAAACATTCTGGTGTTGCTTACAGAAACTGCCTCTCCATTAACCCTTATTACATTCTTGGCAGGACGAGACTTCCTGTCTCTGGAACATCTCTGGAGTTTTTTAGCCCCTCCTTTGCTGGTACTTTGCTTGTGTGGAGTGACCATTCAAAGTTACAATGGCACTGAAAAAAGTGACTTATGACCATTTTTCACACTTACGACTGTTGCAGCATCCCCAGTCATGAGAGGCCAGGCGAGGAGATGCGTGCCTCGATGTGAATGATATTGAGTTGGCCACACCCAGCCAGACACATGACCACCAAGCCACGCCCACCAACTAAGCCACACCCACAGAACCGGTTGTTAAAAAATTTGAATCCCACCCCTGGGTTAAACCATAAATGTCCTTAGCAGTGTCTCCACCAGATGGAAACTTCATTTCTTCCCAACACTGGGCTTCTGATAGTTCTTGGCCCAGCCTTCATCAGTTTGATACTTTCTAGATGAGTTGGACCACAGCTTCCATAATTTTCATCCCGTGACCATGTTGCCAACCCACCTAAAGAGCAAGATTGAGAAAGGCAGGAGGCTAGAGAAGGAACACAAGAAAAAAAAAATTAGGTTTATAGGGCAGGGACCTTTTGAGAAACTCTAGAATTCTTCTGTTCTCCTTCCTTTTTCAGGATAGCAAAACCCAGAAAGTTTGGGGGATTTTTGGGGGGTGAATTTGTGTCTTTTATGCATTGCCATTTACCTTTAACCCCTGTACCTCCAAATTGCTCAACAATTGTGATCATTGCCTGAATTGTCCGAAGAGCATTTGCCTCATTCTTTTAACTGATTAGCAAGTCAACCAGTTGATGTAGTAGGAGGTTTTGGCATGAGAAGTCTTCAATATATGTGGAAGTACGATGAAAGTAAGAAGCCCCATCATGAATTTGATACTGACGAAAAGCTAACCTGATTCCCACTAGGCAGAAAAATATGTTATTAATATTAGCAGTCTTTAAATCAGTAGTATGAAATGAGCACTGCCAGGATGAACATCAGATGTTTGTCTGATAAACATACCAGTAAGCTGCTTTACAACGTTTAAAACAGTGATCTGTATTTCTAATCAAAGTTTATGATTGTCTCCTTTTCAGTCTGCTAGACACCCTGGGATGGCCACTTTTAATTCTGGTAAGTACTAAATGTCAGGTAGAATAGTTGTATCATTGTGCTATACAATAGGTGCTTGGGATCCTTTTCATCAAAAGTTAATTTCAACATGCTAAATTGAAAGCATGCATGATCACCGTGCTTAGTTGATGCTGCTTATCTCAAAAAGTTAAGTGAACTATGGTTCGTGCTAGTATTATGAGTACAGGCTAGATTGGAAAGCCAAAACACGGTTAGGAGAAAGGAACTTGGTAAGGTAACTTTGTGGTCATCGGAAGTCAAGCTTGACACAACATTCGCCTTTAGTTTTGTCTGAAAGGGGAAGTGACACAATCAGATGTGTAGAAAGAGGCTGTAAGGGAAGTCCCAAGCCAAAAAAGCTTCTCCTAGTACTTGGTTTGTGGGATGGGAAGAAGAAACCTACTTGTGTGTAGGTAAAAGAGTTGAGATAAACCCAAGAGCGTTCCAAATTGTGCCATTGAAATTTGGTGCCAGAAACCAAACTTTGGTGGTATGGAAGATCCTGGCTTCCCCACATCTACGTGTGTATCACCTCTTCAGAGATCTGAGGGATTTCACTGACCATGTGGGCCGCATAAGTGCATGAACATCTGGGGCAGGAGAATTGGGTGTTTAATGGGGGTCACATTTTGGTGTGCTTTGAGAGAAGAAACCCTAAAGGGACTATTAGGAACATGGACACATTGCCACAAAGACGAGAGGGAGTCAAGCTATTCTCCAAAGCACCAGAAGGCAAGACAAGAAGCAACAGGTGGAAACTAATCAAAGAGAGAACCAACCTAGAACTAAGGAGAAATTTCGCGACAGTGAGAACAATTAATCAGCGGAACAACTTGCCCCCAGAAGTTGTGGGTGCACCAACACTGAAGGTTTTTAAAGAAGAGATTGGATAACCATTTGTCTGAAATGGCATAAGCACAGGGTTGGACTAGAAGACCTCCAAGTTCCTTTCCAATTCTATTATTCTGAACTACAGTACACCAGTTTTCTTCCTTTTGTTTGCAACAGGGGCTGGCGAAATAACCTGGAATGCTGGACCATCGGATGCTCTGGTTTTGGCTTTGAGAGCCAGACAAGAGGCTGAACAAGGAAACGGAAAGCTTGAAGAAAGCTTGAAGTGGAAGTGAAGAATGAAGTATTGTAATACACACATCCCACCAAGCACTTTTTATCTAGAATTTTGCTATTTGTACAAATAAGGTAATTGTAAAAATGAGAAATTTTTAAATAAAATTACTGGGCACTTTTACATTTGATGAGGTTTTATTTTATTATGACTTCAGAAAATGAAGGCACAAAATTATTCCTTATGACAAGAATCTCTCTCCACACCTCACCAAAACTTATTGTACAATCGAGGAAATAGGCTTCATTAATTAATTGCATCATGGAAATCTGACAGTAAGGTAATATAATCACCAGGAATAATTCCTTAAACATCATTATCTTCTCTCCACATTTATTCCTTTGTCAGGATTTTTATTTTACAGAAATTATACAGAGATTTGTACAGTACAGAGAACAATAAAGGAAACATTCATTTAAAAAAAAACATGTATAGCAGCATGGTGAAAAAAGGCAGAAACAGTTTTACAGAACATTTTAATTTAAACACTGGCTTGTGATGTATGGGGGAAACTGAATTTTGGAATAATTATAACCATGTATGTATTTTGCCTGACTTAGCAGCTGCATTTTAAATCAATAACTTTTTGAGAACAAAATGAATAGCAGTTGCTAAGTGCCCATTTCTGCTTCATCCAAATTATATCCAAATGAGAGATTGCTTAAGAAATTTTGAAGTATCAAGAATTTTATTTGTGCTTTACTGCAAAAGTTTAAGGCAGCAGTTTTTTGCACTAGTGGGACATTTTAGTGCCACATTTATAGATGATCACAAACCCTGAACACGTGAGATAATTTATCCCTGGTTTTCCCTTTTTTCTAGTAGTGGTTTCCATTACAGCAGTTATCCAAAACGTTGTTTTAAAAATCCTTTATTGCTGTAATCTTTAACACAGTGATGTTTTATGGGGTGACACTTTCAATCCTGATGGAAACAATCCTTACAAATCATTGGTATTCTTTCACTTTTGGGCAAATCTCAATGTTGAAAAGACCTAACTGAAGAAAAACGCAGTCCAGAGAACTGTTTCAGGTTTCCGTGAACAGACGCAATGTAAACATTTCTTTCAAGTTAGAAATGCAACCTTCAACAAAAGTTAACTTTTAAACCTGCCATAAATGCACCTTGCTTTTATCATCCTAGCCCTGACAGCTGTGAAAAGCTCCCCACTCCCAGCTTTCATTAAATAGCCCGACCACATCAAAATATATTGCACGTTGCCTTGCTAAGTATTGATCGAGAGGTTAACTGCATTATCAAAGCTGCACCTTGAATTTATGGGCGGGAGAGAGAAAATGTTTGCACACTGGACATAGTTGGAAGTGATCTCCCCGAACTCACTGCAGGTAATTCTCGACTTATGACAGCAGTTGGGGGCCAGAATTTCTGTGGCTAAGCGATGCAACTGTGAAGTGCCAATGGTAATTCCTGCACCCTGCCGTCGTTAACTGAATCCCAGGGTCATTAGGCAAGGAACTTCCTGTTGGCTTCCCACAACCAAAGTCAGGGAGGAAAACTGGCAGGAAGTGGCAAGGCCCAGACGAGTAAATAGGAAGGGAAAGGAGTAATAGGGTGTGGAGGGTCTGATGGTGTGGAGAAGGATGTGATGAGGGGGGGCATGAGAAGCGTGGCACGGGTCAGGAAGGGTATATGAGTTGGTGAGGTGCGGATGTGAAGGGGTGCAGGCGAGGCAGGTGAATAAATGGTTGGCATGGCACAAAGGGGCAGGGAGGCCGCATAGGTGTGGGAAACTTACCTGAGTAACTTGCAATCCTCTCTGCTGGTTTCCCCACTGATTTTCTGGGCAAGCCGGCAGAGAAGGTTGCAACAGTGATCGTGCGAAAGCTGCAACTGGCTGTAAGTGCAAACTGGTTGCCAACTGCCCAGATTGCATTTGTGTGCCTAAGGGAACGCTTTTGATGGTCGCACCTCCGAGGATGGTGATAACCACCGTTCGTTCGGCACTGCCGTAACTTGGAACATTTGCTGAATGAATGGTCATGGGCCCATACAGACTACCTGGGTTCTTTCTTAAGTCTTGTCGAATGTGGTGTGATCTGTGAGGACAAAACAGCAAGAGGTTTTTATTCAGTGCAGTTGGTAGTTCTGTTTTGACCAAGTATAAACCAAGAATGTGCAGAACTCAGATTTAGGAATAGAACAATGGGGAAAAAAAAGTGTTCATTCTCTCTCCAGACTAGACTGACTGGGGTAATTGGCCATTTTTCTGAACTGGCATCCTGGACAAAACAGGGAACAAGGACACCCCTCAGGACACCTTGAAAATCATTTCTGATTTACTTCTGGGAAACTGCCAGATTGCTACTGGAGCACTAGAGGACAGGGAAGGCGCACGGGAAAAATGGAGCATTCCATGAATTTTCCAAAAATTTCATTCCCAACCTTCTTAATTTTGCCTACCTTGTAGTGGATCGGGGTCCCCGTCCCCCGTCCCCCCATTTCAGCTGCACGTATCTATATGACTAAAAATGCTGATTCATTCTTGGAGCAAAAGTGAGTTGTGAGAAATCTCAATCCCAGCCAAAAGGAAGAAGCTTGGTGCAACCCGACATGGAATCGTTTTCCTCCCCCTTGAGGGAAGCGATGTGGCCTCGGCGAAATAAAATCATAAAGTCCCACTGAACTCCAGTCTGACTTAAGGAAGCCAACTGGGAGTTGAAGATCGAGCTAGTAGTGAGGGTCGCAATCCTCTAGTAAGCTGTCGGTCATGTAGGTGGTCTGGAGAACGTTTTCGTAATACATTTTTTCGGCAAGCGTGTTGACGGTCCAAGCGACAACGTGAACCCCTTTCGAGGACCAACGATTTACGTAGTCCCTAAAAGGAAGTAGGCAAAAAGGATGAGGGGACAAGTAGTTGCATTCTGGCTTATTTTTAAAATGTTTCTATAGCCTCTTTACTGTTCTGATACAGTTCTTTCCTCCTTTAAAAACCCACAAAGGCAATTAGAGCCATTTAAAGTTTGGGGTTCATCCAGAAAAAGCTCAGTGTAGATCCAATGTTCCTCAGGATTAAAAACCATTTAAATTTGGAGGATTTGTCCAGAGAAAGCTCTCTAGAGATCCCATTGTTCTCCAGGTCTCCGTTTCATAAATGTGAGACCAACTTTTCTCCATGCAATCACCATCAAGAAATCTAGCAGCCACAGACGGGTGAAAATCAAGTATGCTGTTCAACTTACTGTGAAACGTAGTTTTTCTGCATCAGGAAAACAGAAACGCCACATAAATGCCATAGGAAGTTGTGCATGCTCCAGTCCATGATAACATCGAAGGCCATAGACAAATAGTGTTTCCAAAAAACCGTATAGCGAGGCTTCCCGTCCCCGTAATGACTGAAGCTCCAGGGTCGGTGGGTCAGAGCTGTTATGATATTTCTGTCAGCTTGTTTTATCTAAAAGACCAAATCACACAAAGCTAAACACCTGCATCCCGGTAGCTTAATGAGGTTATAATACAAGAGGTTTAACATTGCCCGCATTCTGGAGGTCGTGGGAATCAAACTGCAAATCATGGGTTGTGGGAAGATCCCCCTTGCTTTGCATTACAATCCAAAACTCAGAAGAAAATATCCCACTGATTTTCTCCACGAGCATTTACTTCCAAGTTGAACAGATCTTGTTCAGAAATGCTTCAGCCTTTGATAGGACTGACGTCGAGCAGTTCAGTCAATCCATACACCCTTTAAAACACAAATATCCTACCTAATGCATACAGAAAGGTACCTATTACTCACTTTTTCCTCAGGGAGATGAAGTAGGGCATTGGTGTTATAAACCGAACACACAAGCATTAAAAAGCACCAAGACAAACACGTTTCTCCATTCCACAGCCAATGTAAAACACTAACGTGATCAACTCTTAGGCTTAATCCAATGAACTCTTTTTATACTGACTTTCCAATGTAGGGAAGGCCCGGAGTTTACTGAGCATGTTAAAATAAGCTAGATGGCAATTAAGGTTCTAAAAAATAGGTAGCATGTGCTTCCCTGTTTCTAACATTTTGTGCATCTTGTAGAACACCAAGCCTACTCAAAAACTTCCTATTGTCATGTCATAAAATTATGAGACAACGTTTTGAAATCTTCACCTTATAGACAACATCTGGCATAAACGAGCAAACCACACTGGTGTTGTACAGCCGTGGATATTCTAGGTAGAGCTGTGTCAGGGCTGCAACTGCCTGCCAGTAAAAAGAAAATGGCATTTTAAAAAAAGCACTGGACAAAGACAAGGGTTTTTTTCTTGTACATTTCAGCTACCAGGGGGAATTCTTGCATAGCAGATGCTACTGCTTAAAGTGGCATGTGCAGAGCACAAAATAATTTGTGTTTTGGGGGAAAAATACACACCAAGGCAGGTGAATGGAGCAGAATGTACTACCAGTAATGTACGTGGGAAAGTTGCTTTCAAAAACAGCAACTTGGTTTAACTGAAATACAGATTCAAGGAAAGATTCAGAATTCGGCCCTAGAGTCAACGAAGACGCTTCCAACCTCAACTCTTGATTTTTTTCAAATAACAGGACTGAGAAAGAGCAAGACTCTACTTGCTGGTGCTAGGTACTCAGAGTAAGATCAGTATCAGTATCTTCATGCAATTTACTCTATAATCAGAAAAAAAACCACATGCTGATAATAAGTGCCTTTAAAAAAAATAGTTCTCTGCCCCTTCCGTAACACAGCTCTATGAATGAGAGAAAAAGCATTTATGAGGAAACCTTTACCCCGTCATTACTTTAGTGCCATGAATAAAACTAGTATTTAAAAAATCACCTTGTTTGTTTCAGCATGTTATTGTCAGAACGTTTTGTCAAATGGAAGAGCTCTACAGGAAAGGAAAACTGTTGGAAGGGTACCTTATCTGCATGTCCCTTGACATCAAAGTAGATGATGAGGTCATGATGCAAACTTTCCAAAACAGCTTCTTTTAGGGTTGGTATTTTTTCCCCACGATAATCCCTCCTGGAGGAAAAAAAAATCACCAGACCTACTTGAAAGGTGTGCATTTAAACAGAAAAGTATCCAATTAAAAAAAAGGAAATATTTCCCCATTTGTACTGTACCACCACTAAAGATCCCAACATATATTCCAGTAGAAAAGGAACACCAACTCTTATAAAGATCCTTGAAGAATTTAGTCATTTAAGCACCAGAAGACATGATTATCTATTGGGAAGTTGCGATCCACAAAAAAAGTACATGTTCAGGTAGTTCTCGACTTACAACCACTTGTTTAGTGACTTTGAAATTATAATGGCACTGACTTACAACCAATCCGCAGATTTTCAATTGTTCCAGCATCCCCATGGTCACTTGATCAGGT